TACACCTCTAATCTCAACACTTTGAAAGGCTGAGGCGGGTGGATCACCTAAGGTCAGGAGGTCAAGACCAGACTAGCCAACATGGTGAACCTTGTCTCTACTAAAAATACAAAATTAGCCTGGCACCTGCAATCCCAGCTACTCAGGAGGCTGAGGCAGGAGAATCACTTGAACCTGTGGTCAGAGGTTGCAGGGAGCTGAGATTGCACCACTGCACTCCAGTCTGGATGACAGAGCAAGACTCCATCTCAAAAAAAAAAAAGGAATGAATTACAGATACACACAACAGACAGAACAGTCTCAGAATCCACTATAAGTGAAGGACACCAGACTCAAAAGGCAACATACTGTGTGGTTTCTCTCTTGATGACATTTTGGAAGTTGGGGGAGAGGGATTAACTACAAAGAGGCCTGAGGCAATTCTACGGGGTAATAGAATGTTCTTGATCTTCAGCATGGTGGTGATGACATACTACATAAATTTGTGAAAACTCAACAGGAATGGCTGGGCGCAGTAGCTCACTCCTGTAATGCCAAAACTTTGGAAGGCCAAGGTGGGTGGATCACCTAAGGTCAGGAGTCTGAGACCAGCCTGGCCAACATGGTAAAACCCCATCTCTACTAAAAATACAAAAAAAATTAGCCAGGCCTGGCCGGGTGCACTGGCTCATGCCTGTAATCCCAGCACTTTGGGAGGCTGCGGCAGGCGGATCATGAGGTCAAGAGTTCAAGAACAGACTGGCCAACTAATTCTTGTATTTTTTAGTAGAGAAACCCCGTCTCTACTAAAAAATGCTAAAATTAGCTGGGTACGGTGGTTCGTGCCTGTAATCCCAGCTACTTGGGAGGCTGAGGTAGGAGAATTACTTGAACTGGGACCTAAGAGGCAAAGGTTGCACTGAGCCGAGATCGTGCCACTGCATTCTAGCCTGGGCTACAGAGCAAGACTCCATCTCGGAAAAAAAAAAAAAAAATTTGCCAGGCTTGGTGGTGGGTGCCTATAATCCCAACTACTTGGGAGGCTGAGACTGGAGAATCGCTTGAACCCGGGAGGCAGGGGATGCAGTGAGCCGAGATGGCGCCGTTGCATTCCGGCCTAGGTGACAAGAGTGAAACTAAAAATTAATTAATTTAAAAAAACCAGAAAACTCATGACACTATACACTGAAAAAGATGGATCTTGGGCCGGGCGCGGTGGCTCAAGCTTGTAATCCCAGCACTTTGGGAGGCCGAGGCGGGTGGATCACGAGGTCGAGAGATCGAGACCATCCTGGTCAACATGGTGAAACCCCGTCTCTACTAAAAATACAAAAAATTAGCTGGGCATAGTGGCACGTGCCTGTAATCCCAGCTACTCAGGAGGCTGAGGCAGGAGAATTGCCTGAACCCGGGAGGCGGAGGTTGCGGTGAGCCGAGATCGTGCCATTGCACTCCAGCCTGGGTAACAAGAGCGAAACTCCGTCTCAAAAAAAAAAAGATGGATCTTGGTGTAGGTAAATTACACCTTAATAAAATCAACCAGCAGCTCTGTATGCTGATACATGAGCAGACTTTCTGGAAGACACATGGCTGGAAAGTGGCTGCCTCAAGAGGAGAGGTGATGAAAATTTTGTAAAATTATGATGGTCGCACAATTCTGTGACTATACTAAAAACTACCTTAAAGGGGTGAACTGTGTAGTATGTGAATTAATTTCAATAAAACTGTTGTAAAAATAATAAAAATAGGCTGGGCACAGTAGCTCACACCTGTAGTCCCAGCACTTTGGGAGGCTGAGGTGGTTGAATCAACAGAGGCAAGGAGTTCGAGACCAGCCTGGCCAACATGGCAAAACCCCATCTCTACTGAAAATACAAACATTAGGCAGGCATGGCGGCGGGGCACCTGTAGTCCCAGCTACTCAGGAGACTGAGACAGGAAAATCACTTGAACCAGGAGGTGGAGGTTGCAGTGAACTAAAATTGCACCATTGCACTCCAGCCTGGGTGACAGAGTGAGACTGTCTCAAATAATAATAATAATAAATTTCACAAGGACTAAAGGAAAAATAAAATAAACCAATAAAAGAATTAAAAAGAATTTCTTGGCCGGGCGCGGTGGCTCAAACCTGTAATCCCAGCACTTTGGGAGGCCGAGGCGGGTGGATCACGAGGCCGAGAGATCGAGACCATCCTGGTCAACATGGTGAAACCCTGTCTCTACTAAAAATACAAAAAATTAGCTGGGCATGGTGGCACGTGCCTGTAATCCCAGCTACTCTGGAGGCTGAGGCAGGAGAATTGCCTGAACCCAGGAGGCGGAGGTTGCGGTGAGCCGAGATCGCGCCATTGCACTCCAGCCTGGGTAACAAGAGCGAAACTCCATCTCAAAAAAAAAAAAAAAAAAAAAAAAAAAATAATTTCTTTAAGCAGACACAAAATACAAGAGCCACAAGCAAAAGAACTGATAAATTTCACAAAATCACCATTTTATTTTTATTATTTGTATTATTTGTATTTTTTTTAAGAGACAGGGTCTTGCTATGTTGCCCAGACCAGAGTGCAGTGGCTATTCACAGGTGCAATCAATCCCACTACTGATCAGCATGGGAGTTTTGACCTGCTCCATTTCAGACCTGGGCCAGTTCACCCCTCCTTAGGCAACCTGGTGGTCCCCCTGCTCCCGGGAGGTCACCATATTGATGCTGAACTTAGTGCAGACACCCGATTGGCATAGCGCACTACAGCCCAGAACTTCTGGACTCAAGCGATCTTCCAGCCTCAGCCTCACAAGTAGTTGAGACTACAGGCACACGACACCACACCCAGCAAAATCACCATTTTAAACATCCATACAAGTTACAGATTTGATGACAGTATCGGTGCAGAAACGACGGCCTGACCACTAGCCAGGGCACAGCCCCCTGCCAGCCGTCTCCTGACTTGACCCAGCCCAGCCTGCACTGATGGGTTACAAGAGGATGAGCCGTGCAGCTGAGCAGGAGTCAAAAAACCCAGAACTGGGCCGGGCGCAGTGGCTCACGCCTGTAATCTCGGCACTTTGGGAGGCCAAGGTGGGTGGATCACGAGGTCAGGAGTTCAAGACCAGCCTGGCCAACATGGTGAAACCCCATCTCTACTAAAAATACAAAAATTAGCTGGGCATGGTTGCATGCACCTGTGGTCTCAGCTACCTGGGAGGCTGAGGCAGAAGAATCGCTTGAACCCAGGAGGTGGAGGTTGCAGTGAGCAGAGATCCCACCACTGCACTCCAGCCTAGCGACAGAGTTGAGACTCTGTCTCAAAAAAACAGAACTGTTGGTGAAACTGGAGACTTCATTTGGGAACAAAAAACTTTAGTTAATAGTTTCCCTGGGCTTTCCCAAAATATCACTCCTGAAAAGTGTGGATCTTTGCTAAAAAACAACACCAAAAAAAATTCCAGCCTGGACGATATAGCAAGACCCCATCTCTACAAAATATTAAAAAATTAGCCAGTGTGGTAGCTATGATGGTGCCACCACACTCCAGGCTGGGTGAAAGAGTATGACTGTCTTTAAAAAGAAAAGGGCCAGGCACGGTGGCTCACATCTATAATTCCAGCACTTCGGGAGGCCAAGGCGGGCAGATCATTAGGTCAGGAGTTCAACACCAAACTGGCGAACATGGTGAAACCCCATCTCTACTAAAAATACAAAAATTAGGCCAGGCGCAGTGGCTCACACCTGTAATCCCAGCACTTTGGGAAGCCAAGGCAGGCAGATCACAAGGTCAAGAGATCGAGAACATCCAGGCCAACATGGTGAACCCCGTCTCTACTAAAAAATACAAAAAATTAGCAGGGCATGGTGGCATGTGCCTGTAGTTCCAGCTATTCAGGAGGCTGAGGCAGGAGAATTGCTTGAACCCGGGAGGCAGGGGTTGCAGTGAGCCAAAATCGCACCACTGCATGCCAGCCTGGCGCCTGGGGACAGAGTAAGACTCTGTCTCAAAAAAAAAAGAAAAAAAATTAGCCAGGCATGATGGCACGCACCTGTAATCCCATCTACTCAGGAAGCTGAGGCAGGAAAACCACTTGAACTGGAAGGTGGAGGTTGCAGTGAGCCGAGATAGCGCCACTGCGCTCCAGCCTGCGTGACAGAGCGAGACTCCATCTCAAAAGCAAGAAAAAGAGAAAGAAAAGATCTCTAAGAAACCTGCTAAATGAAAACAGAGACGGGATAGAGAGGGGAATTTGGGTTAAGGTAGCCAGGAAAGGCCTCCTGCGAGCATGTTACTGGTGTAAAGCAGAGGGAGGATGAAGAGGAAGAGCATTCTAGGCAGAAAGAACAGCAGGTGCCAAGGCCTTGAGGTAGGCTCTGCCGAGCAACACCATCAAGGCAAGTCCAAGGCCTCAGCAACACTTCCTGCCCCAGCAACTCCAGGGCTATAGTCCGGAGGCTGAGTGCTATGATCTGGATGTCTGTGACCCCCTCAAATTCATATGTTGAAATCCTAACAGCCAATGTGATGGTATTGGCAGTGCGATCTCTGCAAGGTAATTAAGTCATGAGTGGTGGAGCCACCACTGGGATTAGTGCCCTTATACAAGAGGTTCCAGATTTCCTGCTTTCTGTCACATGAGGACACAGCAAGAGGGCACCACCTAGAGCAGGCGTCCCCAAACTAGGGCCCGCGGGCCGCATGCAGCCCCCTGAGGCCATTTATCCGGCCCCCCGCCACACTTCAGGAAGGGGCACCTCTTTCATTGGTGGTCAGTGAGAGGAGCACAGTATGTGGCGGCCCTCCAACGGTCTGAAGGACAGTGAACTGGCCCCCTGTGTAAAAAGTTTGGGGACGCCTGACCTAGAGGCTAGGAAGCAAGCCCACCTCAGACACCAAATCTACTGGTGCTTTGCTTGATCTTGGACTTCCTACCTTCAGAGCTGTAAGAAATGAACTTCTGTTGTTTGAAAGCCACCAGTCTATGGCATGCTGTTAGAGAAGCCCAAACAGCCAGAGACACCAGGCGGCCCCACTCACCCCTTCACTGTGCTGCACCACACTGCCAATGTTATGCAGAGACTGGAAGTTCTGGGTGTTCACAGAGCCAAACTCCACAATCTCATCATCCACTTGCAGACCCTGGAGAGGGAAGGAAAAATGGAAAATCAGGCTAGAGGTTCAATGTGCTCCTGGTGTTCTCTAACCTTCAATACCTAATTTAATGCCAAGGTCATGAACTTGTTTCCTACAGGGTGGGCCCAAAACAGAGGTCAGGGATGTTGAAACCTCATGAGGGAAGAGGCAGTGGGTAATGGGGCCACCTCTCCTGGGATTCCTTTGAGGGCAGCTCTAGTAAAGATGACCAGGTCTGCCCAGTGTCTGAGAGCTGGCAGTTACCAGACACTGTGAAGGCCTTGAGGAGCATGGGAAAGGCCAAATGCTGCTCTCTGGGGTCCTAACCCAGGTTCAAGAGTAAAAGAAGGCAAGCCAGGCTAGGCCCATTTTATTCAGTGGTCAAAATTTAGACAAGATATAGTGTGGGCGCAGTGGCTCACGCCTGTAATCCCAACACTTTGGGAGGCTGAGGCGGGCTAATCACAAGGTCAGGAGTTCAAGACCAGCCTGGCCAACATAATGAAACCCCGTCTCTACTAAAGATACAAAAATTAGCCGAGCATGGTGGCTCGTGCTTGTAGTCCCAGCTGCTCAGGAGGCTGAAGCAGGAGAATGACTTGAACCCAGGAGGTGGAGGCTGCAGTGAGACTAGATCATGCCACTGCACTTCAGCCTGGGCAACAGAGTGAAACCTTGTCTCAAAAAAAAAAAAAAAATGTAGACAGGACATTTGTCCTAGAAGCCCCCACACAAGCAGCCACAGGCACAAGGCAGACCCAGGACTAGAGTGACGCTCTTGCTCTAGGTCCTAAGAACACAGACCACCACTCATTCACCTCTTCAACAAATATTTGTTGTGGGCCAACCAGCACTGTGCTAGATGCTGTAGATGGGGTGGTGAAAGAAATGGAGCGTCTATGTAACTTACAGACTTGTGATCACTAAAGAAGACTGGCAGGACCCGGATTTAGGACCCCATTCTACCGGTCAGGAACTGACACAAGTCAGTTATGTGTCCTGACACAAGTTACTTCAGATCTGAGAGGCTTTTCCTCGAGGATGAAATGGGTAAAGATTAGAACCTATCCCAGAAGTGGCTGTGGAATTAAATTTAACTACATCTCCACAAAAAAAACTGTACAAGAATGATCATGGCAACATTCTTCATTAATAGCTAAAAAGTAGAAACAATCCAAATGTCCATTAATGTGACAAACGGATAAATAAAATATGATATACCCAGGCAGTGGAATATTAGTAGGCCATAAAAAAGAATGAAGGGCCAGGCATGGCGGCTCATGCCTATAATTCCAGCACTTTGGGAGGCTGAGACAGGAGGCTTGCTTGAGGCCAGGAGTTCAAGACCAGCCTGCACAACATAGTAAGACTCCATCTTTACAAAACAAAGAAATAAAAAATTGACCAGGTGTGGTGGCGTGTGCCTACAGTCCTAGATGCTTGGGAGGCTGGGGCAGGAGGATCACTTGACTCTGGGAGTTTGAGGTTGCAGTGAGCTATGATGGCACCATGGCACTCAAGTCTGGGTGACAGAGTGAGACCCTGTTTGTAAAGGAATGAAGCACTGATCCAGGTTACAATATGGATGACTCGAAAATATGCTAAGTAAAAGAAGCCAGTCATAAAAGGTCACATATTATTTGATTCCAATTATAAGAAATGTCCAGCCGGGCACAGTGGCTCAAGCCTGTAATCCCAGCACTTTGGGAGGCCGAGGCGGGTGGATCACGAGGTCAAGAGATCGAGACCATCCTGGTCAACATGGTGAAACCTCGTCTCTACTAAAAATACTAAAAATTAGCTGGGCATGGTGACGCGTGCCTATAATCCCAGCTACTCGGGAGGCTGAGGCAGGAGAATTGCCTGAACCCAGGAGGCAGAGGTTGCGGTGAGCCGAGATCGCGCCATTGCACTCCAGCCTTGGCAACAAGAGCGAAACTCCGTCTCAAAAAAAAAAAAAGAAAGAAAAAAAGAAATGTCCAGAATACACAAATCGATAGAGACAGAAAGTAGATAACTGAGTGTGGGGAAGTTGGGAGATTGGGAGGTGATGGCAAATCACTACAAAGGACAATGACAATATTCTGAAATTGATTAAGACTGGCCATGGTGGCTCATACCTATGATCTCAGCACTTTGGGAGGCCAAGATGGGAGAATCACTTGAACCCAGGAGGTCGAGACCAATGTATGCAACACAGAAAAACCCTCCATCTCTCTCTCTCTTTTTTTTTTTTTTTTTTTTTTTTTGAGAGATCTCGGCTCACTGCAACCTCCACCTCCTGGATTCAAGTGATTCTCCTGCCTCAGCCTCCTGAGTAGCTGGGATTACAGGCACATGCCACTATGCCCGACTAATGTTTATATCTTTAGTATAGACAGTGTTTTACCATGTTGACCAGGCTGACATCAGGTTATCTGCCTACCTAGGCCTCCCAAAGGGCTGGGATTACAGGCATAAGCCACTGTGCCTGGCTGAAAGTTTTTTAAATAGAAATAAAATTGATTGTGGTGAGGATGCACAGCTCTGTGAATATACTATAAGACACTAGGCTATATACATACTTTAAATGGGCAAATTTTACGGTATTTTAATTACATCTCAATAAAGCTGTTAATTTTTTTTTTTTGAGACAGAGCCTCACTCTGTGGCCTAGACCAGAGTTCAGTGGCATCTCAGCTCACAGCAACCTCCACCTACCGGATTCAAGTGAGTCTCCTGCCTCAGCCTCCTGAGTAGCTGGGATTACAGGTACCCACCACCATGCCCGGCTAATTTCCATACATTTAGTAGAAACGGGATTTCGCCATGTTGGCCAGGTTGGTCTCAAACTCCTGACCTCAAGTGATCCACCCGCTTCAGCCTCCCAAAGTGTTGGGATTACAGACATGAGCCACCACGCCCAGTCAAAAAAAAGTTTTTTTTAAGACAAGGTCTCGGTCACCCAGGCTGGAGTGCAGTGGTGCAGTCACAGCTCACTGCAACCTCAACTTCCCAAGCCCAAGTGATTCTCCCACCTCAGCTTTCCAAGCAGCTGAGACCACAGGTGTATGCCACCACTCCCAGCTAAATTTTTTTTTAGAGCTAGGTCTTACTATGTTGCCCAGGCCAGTCTCAAACTCCTAAACTCAAGCAATCCACCTGTCTCAGCCTTCTCAAGTGCTGGGATTCCAGGCATGAGCCGCTGTGCCCAGCCTAATTTTTTTTAAACACACCAGGTAAGATGCATAACTCATTTGGCAGGATTCCATTTTAATTTTTATCATTCTGTGCCCAGCTAAAATGAGCCCCAAGAAGAAATCCTCCTTCCCTCTCTTGGGACATTTATCATCTGTCACTGGGAACAGGTCACTCCCCTACCAATGCAGTCAGCAGCTGGGGCTGATCCCTCTCTAAAATTCTGTCACCCAGGCTGGACTAGAGTACTGTGCTCACTGCAACCTCTCCCTCCCAGGTTTAAGCAATTCTCCTGCCTCAGCCTCCCGAGTAGCTGGGATTACAGGCACGTACCACCATGCCTGGCTACTTTTTTTTGTATTTTTAGTAGAGATGGATTTTTGTATTTTTAGACCATATTAGCCAGGCTGGTCTTGACCTCCTGACCTTGTGATACGCCCACCTCTGCCTCCCAAAGTGCTGGGATTACAAGCGTGAGCCACTGCACCCAGCCGGACAGTTTGTTAAATGAGTAACTGAACTCAGCACCACAGCACGGAAGGAACTGGTCTATCATAGTTTCCACACCCCTAAAGGCTACCTGACCCACAGTGTCCCCTGGGCATGGACTTGAGTGGCCAAGCCCTGGATTACCGCGATGCTGGCTGGGGAGCCGGGGCTGATGCTGTTCACTTTGGCGAAGGCCTGGGGAGGGCCCTGGCTCTCACTCTGGCCCAGTTTGCGGTTCATGGCCTCTTTGTGGGCCTCAGCCATGTCCCGGGCCTGCTTCTCCTTGTCGCGAGCATGCAGCTGGTGCAGAGCCTCTTCCACCTGCTTCATCACCGCCTTGTGATCATTCTGCAGGCCTGAGGTAAGAATGACACATCAGGGGCCAAGGAAGACAGTGGAGGACACAAGACTCCTACATCCACTCACTGAAGAGTTAACAAGTGTTTATTAGACACCAGATGTAGGGCTACAGGCGAGGATGAATCCCTGACCAAGAAAGAGGACCTTCCCTCATGGAGCATTCAGTCCTGCAAAGAGCAGCTCCAGAATAAGTAACTACAATAATATCTGATGACTGTAGGGAGGGCTGGCCAGCAGGAGAGTCTGACTTTGCTAGTCTAGGAGATGAGGGAGGGCTTCCTGAAGGCAGTGCTGTCTCGGTGAGCCCTGAGAGGTAAGCAGAAGGAAGGTAATGTCTGGCTGAATCCATAGCCGTGAGTTCAAAGGCATATGTGGGTCCAGCTTTGTGATCATGCGAATGAATGACTCGGGCTGGGTGTAATCAAGATTTCACTTTTTGGCCAGGCATAGTGGCTCATGCCTGTAATCCCAGCACTTTGGGAGGCCGAGGCAGGTAGATCATAAGGTCAAGAGATCGAGACCATCCTGGCCAACATGGTGAAACCCCATGTCTACTAAAAATACAAAAATTAGCTGGGCATGGTGGCATGCACCTGTAGTGCCAGCTACTCAGGAAGCTGAGGCAGGACAATCGCTTGAACCCAGGAGGCGGAGGCTGCGGTGAGCCAGGATAGCACCACTGCATTCCAGCCTGGCAAGAGAGTGACTCCGTCTCAAAAAAAAAAAGATTTCACTTTTCTCTGAAATCCTCTAGAAGAAAAAAATGCTGCATAAGCCTAGTAATACTGTAGACATTCAGTCCAGGAGAGGCCACAGGGAGGCAGCCAAAGGGCACCCCTGCTACAGGGCTCTTGCCAACTGCTGGGGTTTGGGAGGCAGAGCCCATGCCACAAAATCTTTGATTTTTACAGAAAAGCTGAAAATTGGAATCTGTGAAGTGAAATTCTCTGATTTTTCAGTACCGACTGCTAATTCAAAATGTTGTGAAGCACCATGGCAACCTGCAGGCTAGGCCAGCACAGCAGCTGGTATTTTGATACCTTGTGCCTGACAGGGGGCTCGCTGGGCTACTGCACCTGCCTCCTCTGCCACTGTCACATCAGAGCAAAGGCGAGGCCCTCAGGCATTAAGGGATTCAAGTTCTTAACCCACAGGAGCAGATATGGAAAAAGAACCCAGGTCTGAACAAGTGGAGACATGTACCCAGGAGGCAGACTTATATAATACATGGTCACTTTTACTAGAAAAGTCCTTCCATGATCGAGGTCCACAAGTATCCCCAGCATCTGCAATGCCTGGCGCATGGGAAGTGCTTAAAACACAGCTGTTGGGGAATGGACAACTGACTATTTATAACTTATTATAATTCTAATCAAAATGTTAAAAGGTTTTTTTTTTTTTGAGACGGAGTTTCGCTCTTGTTACCCAGGCTGGAGTGCAATGGCGCCATCTCGGCTCACCGCAACCTCCTGGGTTCAGGCAATTCTGTCTCAGCCTCCTGAGTAGCTGGGATTACAGGCACGCACCACCATGCCCAGCTAACTTTTTGTAATTTTAGTAGAGATGGGGTTTCACCTTGTTGACCAGGATGGTCTCGATCTCTTGACCTCGTGATCCACGCAGCTCGGCCTCCCAAAGTGCTGGGATTACAGGCTTGAGCCACCTCACCCGGCCGGTTTTTTTTTTTCCAGGACAAAACGTTTCTGCAGTATATTTCAAAAAACAAATTTGCAATTATAACAAACATACCATATTAATAAAAGCTGTTGGCCAGGTGCGGTGGCTCATGCCTGTAATTTGGGAGGCTGAGGCAGGTGGATCACCTGAGGTCAGGAGTTCAAGACCAGCTGGCCAAGATGATGAAACCCTCTACTAAAATATAAAAGTTAGCCGGGCATGATGGCAGGTGCCTGTAATCACAGCCACTAGGGAGGCTGAGACAGGAGAATCGCTTGAACCCGGTAGATGGTGGTGGTTGCAATGAGCTGATATCGTCGTGCCACTGCACTCTAGCCTGGCTGACTGAGCTAGACTCCATCTCAAAAAAAAAAAAAAAATGCCAGGTATGGTAGCTCATGCCTGTAATCCCAGCACTTTGGGAGGCCGAGGTGGGCAGATCACGAGGGCAGGAGTTCAAGACCAGCCTGGCCAACATGGTGAAATCCCATCTCTACTAAAAATACAAAAAATTAGCCGGGCAGAGTAGCGTGTGCCTGTAATCCCAGCTACTCAAGAGGCTGAGGTAGGAGAATCGCTTGAACCTGGGAGATGGAGATTTTGGTGAGCTGAGACTGTGCCACTGCACACCAGCCTGAGCAGCATAGCAAGACTCCATCTCAAAAAAAAAAAAAAAAAAAATTAGCTGGGCGTGGTGGCAGGTGAGGCCAGAGAATTGCTTGAACCTGGGAGGCAGAGGTTTCAGTGAGCAGAGATCACACCATTGCACTCCAGCCTAAGTGACAAGAGCGAAACCTGTCTCAAAAATATATATATATACATACAGATACATATCTCTATTTGCTATTAACAATACGAGAAACTAAGTACAAAAGCTAAAGGACTGCTCTGCATTATTTTCCAATTTTTATGTAAATCTATAACTGTTCTTTTAAAAAAGCCTATTTTGTACAACAAAATAAACTTGTGAGAATAGATTTTCTTTCTCTTTTTTTTTTGAGACAGAGTCTTGTTTGCTTTGTCACCCAGGCTGGAGGGCAGTGGCATGATCTCAGTTCACTGCAACCTCCATCTCCTGGGTTCAAGCGATTCTCCTGCCTCAAACTCCCAAGTAGCTGGGATTACAGGCATGTGCCACCACATCCAGCTAATTTTTGTATTTTTAATAGAGACGGGGTTTTGCCATGTTGGTCAGGCTGGTCTCAAACCCCTGAACTCAGGTGATCTGCCTTGGCATCCCTAAGTGCTAGGATTACAACCATGAGCCACCACACCCAGCCGAGAATAGATTTTTCAAAAGAAGACCAGTAAGGAATTGCTCAAATAGATTTATTTATTTATTTATTTATTGAGATGGTCTCTTGCTTTGTCACCTGGGAGGCAGTTTGCCTTGAGCCAAGATGGTGCCACTGCACTCCAACCTGAGTGATGGAGTGAGACTTCATCTCAAAAAATAAATAAATAAGTAAAACATGATGCAGATAAAATCAGATGCAAACAGATTAAAAAGGAGTTAATAAGTGAAAAATGTGGAGGATAAATGCAATAGGACTCTGTGGTAGAGACAGTTGCCTATCTATGGCTGAGGGAATAATGCCCCCCAACATGTCCACATCCTAGCCCCTAGAACCTGTGAAGATGCCACCTTACACAGCAAAAGGGGCTCTGCAGATGTGATTAAGGACCGTAAGATGCAGACATAATCCTGAATTATCCAGGTGGGCCTGGTGTCATCACAGAGGCTAGGTGTGGTGGCTCACGCCCATAATCCCAGTACTTTGGGAGGCCAAAGCAGGCGGATCATCTGAGGTCAGGAGTTTTGAGATCAGTCTGACCAACATGGGGAAACTTCTTCATCTCTGCCAAAAATGCAAAAACTAGCCAGGCATGGTGGCGTGTGCCTATAATCCCAGCTACTCCAGAGGCTGAAGCAAGAGAATCACTTGAATGCAGAATTGCTTGAACCTGGGAGGCAGAGGTTGCAGTGAGCCAAGATCACACCATTGCACTCCAGCTTGGGCAACAAGAGTGACACTCCATCTCAAAAAATAATAATAATACTAGGCCGGGCATGGTGGCTCAGGCCTGTAATCCAAGCACTTTGGAGGCCAAGGCAGGCAGATCACCTGAGGTCGAGAGTTCAAGACCAGCCTGACCAACATGGTGAAACCCCATCTTAAGAAATAATAGGCCGGGCGCGGTGGCTCAAGCCTGTAATCCCAGCACTTTGGGAGGCCGAGGCGGGTGGATCACGAGGTCAAGAGATCGAGACCATCCTGGTCAACATGGTGAAACCCCGTCTCTACTAAAAATACAAAAAAACTAGCTGGGCGTGGTGGCGCGTGCCTGTAATCCCAGCTACTCAGGAGGCTGAGGCAGGAGAATTGCCTGAGCCCAGGAGGCGGAGGTTGCGGTGAGCCGAGATCGGGCCATTGCACTCCAGCCTGGGTAACAAGAGCGAAACTCTGTCTCAAAAAAAAAAAAAAAAAAGAAATAATAAAAAAATAAAAATAATAATAGTAATAATCATAAGTGAAAGAGGGAGGCAGGAGAGTGAGAGAAACAGATGTGATGACAGAATCAGAGTGGGGGAAATGTGATTGCTGGCTTTGAAGATGGACGAGGGCCATGAGTCAAGGACCACGGGCAGCCTCTGGAAACCGGAAAAGGCCAGGAACAAGTTCTCTCATAGAGCCTCCAGAAAGAGCCAGCCCTGCCAACGCTTTGATTTTAGACCAGTGAGACCCATTTGGAATTCTTAGATCTAGAACTGTAAGAGAATAAATTTGTGTTCTTTTAAGCTACTAAGTCTGTGGTCATTTGTTATGGCAGAAACAGAAAACAAATATACTACCCAATATGTACTCTCTGCTAGCTCTTTAATTAAAAACAAAGCACGCCCATAATCCCAGCACTTTAGAAGGCCAAGGCAGGAGGACCACTTGAGACCAAGAGTTCAAGACTCACCTGGGCCACTTAGCAAGACTTGTCTCTACTAAAAAAAATTAGCTGGGCATGGTTGCACACTCCTAAGTCCTAGCTACTTGGGAGGCTAAGGCAGGAGGATTGCTTAGAGCCTGGGAAATTGAGACTGCAGTGAGTCATGTTAGTGCCATTGCACTCCAGCCTGGAAGACAGACCAAGAGCCTGACTCAAAAAAAAAAAAAATGAGAGAGAGAGAAAATGAAACCAGAAATACAGAACCTTAGAGTCTAGCCCATTGCCTTGGTTCTCTTGGATGGGGACAAGATAATCCCATCAAGACAGAAGAGAACGCAGCAGATAATATGGATCCTTGGTTTTTATTTGTATGCCTTTAACACCTCCCACCACAGGTGGGGAAAGTCCTCTAAAAGGTTGACTCACAGATGATGTTGTGCCTGGCGGTGCGGACTTGGTACAGGTCCACGTCTGACCGGGGGTAGCCCTCACAGTCCACCAGCGGCTCGTTCATCCCAATGCCTTTTTGCTGGAGGAAAGAAATGTGGTTAAAAGGAGCTCATAGGTGTAACGTCCCCAGGATGCCTTTCCCCAAACCCTTCTCTTCTGAAGTCATAATAAAGGGGACAGTAATGAAAACTGCCAAATACTGGTCACTTAGCACAGACCAGAGGCTCTACCCATGCCCTCACTACTACCCTGGAGTGGGCACTGTTTCTAATTCATTTTTTTTTTAACAACGAAAGTAATACATGAATCCATTCCTTTTAGGAGTTAAAACGGTGCTGATAAAACCAAAGACTCCTTTGAGCATCACCCCCAAGGCCAGCCTCTTCCTCCACTCCTCCAGACCCTCCTTCCCACAGGGGGCCAACACCTGGCTGCTAGCCCTGGAAGCTAGAGGGCAGTGAAAAGTCCAAACAACACCCAGCGGTGGCAGGGCTTTGATTCTTCGGAAAATAAAAAGATCTGAAAGGACTTTCCAAGAAGGATACCGTGATAGCACCAGCTGCCTCTGGGAAGAGGAACTGGATGGCTGCGTGACAGGGCAGGGAGAGAGACATTTCATTTTATATCCCTCTGTAGTTTTTGAATTTTGCCTATGGGAATGTATTCCCTATTCAAAACAACCTTTAAAAAAAATTTAAAGATATGAGTCAGAGGAGAGGACACAAAAGCGGTGAAGCCAGTCGCACGGTTCAGGGCAGGAGTTTCGCAGCTGGTTAGACTTTAATTTGAATCTCAGTTCTGCCTCATACAAGCTGGGCATCCTTAGCTAAGCCCTTCTCCTCTCTAAGCCTCAGCTTCTTTAACTATAAAATGGGAATAGAAGCACTCGCCTCCCTTCCTATCTGCTGCAAGAGCTAATGAGCAGACCTGCACAGAGTACTCAGCACAGTGCCACGTGCACACACAGCAGAGTGCCACACACACACACGGCATAGTGGGTTGAAGAGTAGCCCCCCAAAAAAGATAGCCAAGTGCCAACCCCCAGAACCTGTAAATACGACTTTATTTGAAAAACAGTCTTTGTAGATGTAATTATGTTAAGGCTCTCGAAACAAACTCATCCAGTGGCTGGTGTCCTTACAAAACAAAGGCAGAGGTAGATGTGGGACAGAGACACAGCAAGAAGACCATGTGAAGATGCAGGCAGAGGTTCAAGTTACACAGCTCTAAGCCAAGGACCGCCGGTGGCCACCAGAGGCCGGGAGAAGGGCCTGGGAGCTTGTTCCTCAGAGCCTCCAGAAGGAGCCAACCCTGCTGACACCTGGATTTCAGACTTCTGGCCTCCAGAGCTGGGATGGAATAAATTCCTGTTGTTTTAAGCCACCAACTCTGTGGTGTTATGGTGGCCCCAGAAAACTACTATGCACAGAAGTCATAAACAGTGGCTGTAAGGAGTAGTCAGTCCAGGGACAAGCACCAGTGTATGCAGGCACTGCGAAGAGGCATTCTGTTCACTCTGCTCCCTTTCTCTCTAGAAGCCTCTGGGTTACACCCAAAACTACTGTCCACTGTGGCAGGGAGACAGTTCTCCATACTCCCCTAACACAGGAACCGCTATGACACGGCAGAAATGTTCCAGGAGCTAAAAACCAGTGTCTGCTCCCTCCTTCCCACAGAGGTTAAGAGTTGACTAGCCTTTGAGAATCAATGTCGTATCGAATACCGCTTCCCAAAGGATGGGATCCATAACACTGGCAGCTTACACATATGGCATTAAATAACCCTGCATCAAAAGACATATTCCTTTCCCAATTATCCTCAATCCCTCAATTGTCAAAGCAAAAAGTGTCCATTTGGTGCTGGTCTTTGCAACACGCCCAGTTACCGGCTATCTCTAGGACCCTCCTTTTTTCTTTCTCTTTTTTTTTTGAGACGGAGTCTCGCTCTGTCACCCAGGCTGGAGTGCAGTCGCGTGATCTTGGCTCACTGCAACCTCTGCCTCCCAGGTTCAAGCAATTCTCCTGCCTCAGACTCCCAAGTAGCTGGGACCACAACCACGTGCTACCACGCCTGGCTAATTTTTTGTATTTTTGGTGGAGACAGGGTTTCACCATGTTAGCCAGGATGGTCTCGATCTCCTGACCTCATGATCCACCTGCCTCGGCCTCCCAAAGTGCTGGGATTGCAGGTGTGAGCCACCATGCCCAGCCAGAACCTCCATTTTTATAACAGTTTTAAGATATAATTCAGATACCATATAACTGACCCATGTGAAGTGTAAAAGTTAATGGTTTTTGTGTTTGTTTTGGTTTGTTTTGAGACAGAATCTCCCATTGTCACCCAGGCTGGTGTACAGTTGTGTGTCATAACTCACTGCAACCTTGAATTCCTGGGTTCAAGCGATCTGCCTCAGCCTCCTAAGTAGCTGGGACCACAGGCACACGTCACCACACCTGGCTAATTTTTTAATTTTTAATTTTTTGTAAAGATACGGTCCCCCTAGGCCAGGCGTGGTGGCTCAGGTGAGCCGAGATCGCACCATTGCACTCCAGCCTGGGTAACACAGTGAAACTCCATCTCAAAAAAAAAAAAAGATACGGTCTCCCTATGTTGCCCAGGCTGGTCTCAAACCCCTGGCCTCAAGTAATGCTCTTGCCCCAGACTTCCAAAATCCTGGGATTACAGGCATGAGCCACCATGCCTGGCCACTTGACCGTATTTTTTTTGGAGAAATGTTTATTCAGGTCCTCTTCCTATCTTCTAGTCGGGTTGCCTTTTTATTATTAAGTTGTAAAAGCTCTTACTATAGTCTAAATACTATCCTCTTATCAGAAAAATGATATGCGAATATTTTACCCCATTCTGTAGCTTACCTTTTCAACTTCTTCACTATGACTTTAGAAACACAGTTGTAAATGTTTAAGTCCAACTTACCATTTTTTCTTTTGCAGCTGGTGCTTCTGGTGCCGTATCTAAGAAGGCTTTCCTAATCCAAGGTCATGAAGATTTACTCCTAGGCTTTATTATACGAGATTTATAGTTTTAGCTATCCATTCTTTTTTTTTTTTTTTTGAGATGGAGTCTCTGTCACCCAGGCTGGAGTGTAGTGGTGCAATCTTGGCTCACTGCAACCTCCACCTCCCAGGTTCAAGCCATTCTCCTCTATAAGCATCCTGAATAGCTGCGATTACAGGCGCCCAAAAGGGAGTTCAGTGTTGCAATTATAGCTCACTGCGGCCTCAACATCCAGGGCTCAAACATTCCTCCTGCCTCAGTCTCTGAAGTAGCTGGGACTACAGGCGTGCACCACCACGCCCAATTAATTTAAAAAATATATTTTTTTGTAGAGGCAGAGTCTCACTATGTTGCCAAAGCTGTTACTGAACTTCTGGCCTCAAGCGATCCTCCCACCTTGGTCTCCCAAATAGCGAGCCACTGCACCCAAACCCACTTTATTTTTCTTTTTTTGAAATGGAGTCTTGCTCTATCTCCCAGGCTGGAGTGCAATGGCGCAATCTCAGCTCATTGCAACCTCCACTTCCTAGGTTTGAGCGATTCTGCTGCCTGAGCCTCCCAAGTATTTTTAGTAGAGGCAAGGTTTCACCATGTTGGGCAGGCTCAAACTCCTGACCTCAGGTAATTGACCCACCTCAGCCTCCCAAAGTGCTGGGATTATAGGTGTGGGCTGCTGCTGCGCCCAGCCCAAGCCTACTTTTTTTTCTCCTCCTGCCCCCAAGACAGAGTCTTGTTCTATTGCCCAGACCTGGAGTGCAATGGTGCGATCTCGGCTCACTGCAACCTCTGCCTCCTGAGTTCAAGCAATTCTCCTACCTCAGCCTCCCGAGTAGCTGGAATTATAGGTGTGCACCACCATGCTCAGCTAATTTTTGTATTTTTAGTAGAAACAGGGTTTTACCATGTTGGCCAGGCTGGTCTCAAACTCCTGACCTCGTGATCTACCCGCCTCAGCCTCCCAAAGTGCTGGGATTACAGATGTGAGCCACCACACCTGGCCCAAACACACTTTTTAGAAACAAACAGAACAGGGTTTCAGGATGAAAGCCTTCAGCAAGCACAGCAGCTAGCTAGAAGCAACTAACATGCCGTATCAACTTGTAAAGTATCTAATCTTATATTTAAGAGAAGAGATTCTCATTTTTCATATGCAGTGAGTTTTGAAATTTCCTTTTAAAATACATTTATGGACAAGGCACTGTGATGCATCCCTGTAACCCCAATACCTTGGGAGGCAGAGGCAGGAGGACTGCTTGAACCCAGGAGTTTGAGACCAATCTGAGCAACACAGTGAGACCCTGTAGCTACAAAATATACAAAAATTAGCTGGGTGTGGTGGCACGTACCTATAGTCTCAGCTACTTGGGAGGTTTAGGTGGGAGGATTGCTTGAGCCCAGGAGGTAGGGCTGCAGTGAGCCTCACCTCCTGGGCTCAGGCAATCTTCCCTGAACTCCAGCCTGGGCAACAGAGTGAGACCCTGTATCAATAATAATAATCATAATACATTTATATAAGTTTAAAAGTAGATTTAAATTAAAAATATCAAAGGAATAACAGTACAGGTGGTGTATGCATATAGTATCCTGCATATGGTAGAAAATAAAGTTTGAGAAATTGCTGGTAATTTGCTTGAAAGCACAGGTTCTGAGTGTAACAGACCTGAAGTGTGAATCCCACTTTGGGCATATAGTCAGCACACAGTAAAATGGTTCTCTGGCCCTCCATATGCAACTTCATCTTATGGCTGGACTTGGTGGCTCATACCTGTAATCCCAGCACTTTGGGAGGCTGAGGTGGGCAGATCGCCTGAGGTCAGGAGTTCAAGACCAGCCTGGCCAACATGGTGAAAAACCTAGCTCTACTAAAAATAAAAAAACGAGTCAGGAGTAGTGGCACATGCCTGTTGTCCCTGCTACTCTGTGGCTGAGCCAGAAGAATCACTTGAACCGGGAGGCTGAGGCTGCTAAGACCGCACCACTGCACTACAGCCTGGGCAACAGAGCGAGAATCCATTTCAAAAAAAAAAAAGAAAGAAAAAGAAACTTCATCTTACATCACGTAAAATGCATTCCATCTCACCCTACTTGGGCATAACTAATTGAATCTTCCTCTGCAAACTGATATGTGATTTTACACTAGGTGGCATAATAAAACCTGCATCCGCTTTTAAGCTGGACCCACCACTGCCACTTCCAAACTGCATGACCTTAGATGAATATTTGCCCCTCTCTGGGCCTGTTTCCTCCTTCTGCAATAAGGATAATGAGCCTTGTCACTCACTCAAAGTCCTGTTCTTAGACCACTAGCATCGGTATTGCTGGGAGTTTGCTACAAATGCAGACTCTGCTCCCTGACTCAAACAGAATCTGCATTTTAATAAGATCCCCAGGTAATTCACATACACACTGAGGTTTAAGAAGTCATGATGTAATCAGCAAATGCCGGGTGTGGCATTCCTATAGTCCCAGCACTTTGGGAGGCCGAGACGGGAGGTTCGCTTGAGGCCAAGAGTTCGATACCAACCTGGGCAACATAGCCAGACTCTGTCTCTACAAAAAATACAAAAATAAGAGAAGGCAGTCAGCGAAGCACATGACAGTTGTTCAATCACCAGTCAAATAACACCTGTTTCCCCCTCCCTAAAATGGAGAAAGTAACAGTATCCATCTCAAAGGGCTGTTGTGATGATTAAATGAACTAACAAAGCGCAGCACTTAAACCAGCGCCTAGGGCCGGGCGCCCCCAGCACTTTGGGAGGCCGAGGTGGGTGGATCACGAGGTCAAGAGTTCGAGACCATCCTGATCAACATGGTGAAACCCCCGTCTCTACTAAAAATACAAAAAATTAGCTGGGCGTAGTGGCACATGCCTGTAATCCCAGCTATTCAGGAGGCTGAGGCAGGAGAACTGTCTGAACCCAGGAGGAGGAGGTTGCGGTGAGCCGAGATCGCGCCATTGCACTCCAGCCTGGGTAACAAGAGCGAAACTCCGTCTCAAAAAAAAAAAAAAAAAAAAAAAAAACCAGCGCCTAGCACACAGTAGTGTTCATAAACGCTTGCTGGATATCAATCGCTAACTGTTCAGTTGCTAAAGTTCTTTGCCTGCCTTCTTCTGCCGACAGAGGCCGCACTTGCGGCGCCTTGGGCCTCCCAGGGACAAGGAGATCCGTAGCTGAGCGCCCTAGCTGAGCCCGCCCGGGCTTCTCAGTTTTCCAGGCATGGAGCGCCGAGTCGGGAGACCTGGGGCGCCCCCACGCCCGCCCGGGAGCCCCGAGCCCACACTCACGCTCTCCAGCACGTCATAGTTGGCCTTGATCTGCGCCTCGATCTCCTCCTTGCGCCGCATCAGCTCCTGGACGTCGCTGACAGTCACGCCGCCGGCCTGCGAGGAGCAGCCGCCCTGCCTCGCTTCCTCGTCAGACATCGTGAACCGCGGGCAGCGATTCCAGACACCCGGCTGCCGGGCTACGGACGACGCCCCAGGAGACCGTGACTACGGCTCCGCCCGTGGGCCAAACCACCTTAGCTGTCCGTGAGCGCGAAGAGGCAAAGGGCGGGAGTTGTGAGGCGGGGCTTGGGGCGGAGCTGGGTCACCGGAAGCCGCACCCTGCCGGAACACGTGCGCCTATGGTGACCCGGCAGGAGTAGCGTCGGGCGAAATGGATTCTCCACGCAGGTGCGCACCTGCGGTAGGGGATGATCTCGCCCCGGCTGACTCATTTTCTTTCCTCATTCGTGCAACAGACATTTATTGAGCGCCTACTGTATGGATGGATACTGTATGCCAGAGAACCTCTGCGTGGCGCTCTAATTCAGTTCTTCACATCCACAGCCCTGGAGGATTTACAAAATACGTTCGGGCTCCTTATACCTCACTTTACAGATCCGATATGCCTGAGTACACATCCCGGTTCTTGCCACTTAACGGCAATCTGTGTGACCCTAGGTCACTACTTTACCTCTGAGCCTCAGTTTCCTCATCTGTAAAATGGGGCAGTAATTGATAGCAGTCTATCTCATAGAGCTGTCCTTCTGCTAACGAATATTCAAGGACTGTTTCCTATGAGCTATACATTGTTGAAGGTGCTGGATGTTCCTGTTAAGACCTCTATAAATTGTAGTGATAATAATAACGGCAATAGTGTTTATTTATTGATACTTATAATGTATCAGATGCTGTTCTAAGTGCCTTACATCTATTAATTCAACAACCTCATGAAACTAGATTATTAGTCCCCAATTTGACAGCTGAGAAAACATCTCAATAATCAATTTTCCCAGCTAGCAAAATGTGAGGCCAAAATTCCAACCCAGTTTAACTAAACAATCAAGCTTGATATCTGACCACGTGTCTCTAATATTCTGTCGTGAAAAGGGCTTAATGGTCATCTGTGTAGTATCCAAACATGTTTTCCCTGAATGTGATCATTGGAAAACTGACAAATCCAAAAGAAGAGACGTATGTAAAAACAACTGGCCTGGAAACTTCAAAAAAAAGTCAATGTTGTGAAATACACATAGGGAATGAGGGTTGGAGGACAGAGAAAGGAGGCGGATATGCAATTGCCTAAATTTAGGAAGACTAAAGAGATGTATCAACTAAATGCAATGGGCCAGGTGCGGTGGCTCATGCCTGTAATCCCAACATTTTGGGAGGCCAAAGTAGGCAAATCACTTGAAGTCAGGAGTTCAAGACCAGCCTGGCAACATGGTGAAACCCTGTCTCTACCAAAAATATAAAAAATTAGCCGGTGTGGTGGCACATGCCTGTAATCACAGGTACTCAGGAGGCTGAGAAGGTCTCAAAACCCGGCCTCAAATGATCCACCTGGCTCAGCCTCCCAAAGTGCTGGGATTACAGGAGTGAGCCACCACGCCTGTCAAAAATAAACTAACATTTCTAACATTGTCAAAAGAGAGAGAGAGATACAGGTGTATGGCTCATGCCTGTAGTCCCATTACTCTGGGAGATACAAGGCAGGAGGATCCCTTGAATCCAGGAGTTTGAGACCAGCCTGGGCAACATAGCAAAACCTCTGTCTCTACAAACAAGCAAACAAAAAAATTAATTATTGAAGGACCAGGCATGGTGTTTCACCCCTGTAATCCCAGCACTTTGGGAGGGCGAGGTGGGTGGATCACTTGAGGTCAGGAGTGCAAGACCAGCCTAGGCAACATGGTGAAACACTGTCTCTACTAAAAATGCAAAAATTAGCAAGGCACAACGCCACACACCTGTAATCCCAGCTACCTGGGAGGCTGAGGCAGGAGAATCACTTGAACCTGGGAGGCTGTACAGTGAGCTGACATCATGTCCTGCACTCCAGCCTGAGCAATAGAACAAGACTCCGACTCAAAAAAAAAAAAAAAATTCAATTAATTAATTAAAGAAAAAGAAAAAGAAAGGAACAGAAAAACACTGACTAAATGCAATACACAATCCTTACTTGAATTATTTAATGAGAAACAGCAGCTTTAAAAGACTTATTGGGCCAATTGGTGAAACCTAATTATGAACTTTATATTAAATGATAGTATATCTGTGTTAAATTTTCTCAGTCAGATAATGGTGTTGCAATTATATGAGAGAATCTCTTTTCTCTTTATTGAAAGGAGATAAATGCTCAAATATTTAGATGTGTAATGTCATGATTTCTGCTACTAACTTGCAGGTGGTTCAAAGGGAGAAAGAGGCAAATGTAACAATTAGCAAATCCACATGGAAAGTATATGCATGTTCAAGGAAACTGTTCTGCAGGTGGCTCATGCCTAGATTTCTAGCACTTTGGGAGGCCAAGGCAGGCAGATCACCGTCTCGGCAACAGAGCAAGACTCTCTCAGCTACTTGGGAGGCTGAGGTACGAGAATTGCTTGAACCCGGGAGACGGAGGTTACAGCAAGCCAAGATCCGGCTACTACACTCCACCCTGGGCAACAGGGCAAGACTCCATCTCAAAAAAAAAAAATTTTAACTTAGTTGCTGAATCAGTTCAGGGGCCCATCACAAAACAGCTGGTCCTCTCAGAAGGATATTTGTGGGGCATTTACTTGAAGGGGCAATTTACAAAGTCGTGGGAGCAGATAAGGATAATGAAGGCACCTGGGGCTGGTGAGCATGGGGCCTCTTACCCACCCCTTAAGCCTAAAGGAGCAAGAGAAGGGAGGGTTTGGGAACCTAGAGAGAGTGGTAGCCACACAACAGGAGTGTGGCTTTCAGTGCAGGACACAGCTGCTGCTCAAACAACATCTGGCAGGGAGGGAGCCCAGGAAGAGACACCCCCTACTAGTCGCTCCTCTCCTCTCCTGCCAGAGTCTCAGGTTGGCTGCAGGTGATAAGGCTTGAGGCACAGAGGAGGGCAGGGAGGGAAGGGATTTGAGGGAGCTAATGGAGTACCCAGCACAGTTGCCAATATTTAAGCATTTGGAAAAGTAAGATGCAGAGAGCCACATAAGAAATCATCCTATTTTTATACAATAACGTCAACTCCCCCATAGAATGGAAAAAGGTAAGCAGTTATACCTGTGAGATTGTTAATATTTAGTACCTGGGCAGTTTGGGGCAGAGCAGAAAGTAATTTTTAAAAATAAGATAATGGATTGGGCGTGGTGGCTCACACCTGTAATCCCAACACTGGGAGGTCAAGGTCGGTACATCACCTGAGGTCAGGAGTTTGAGACCATCCTGGCCAACACGGTGAAACGCTGTCTCCATTAAAAATACAAAATGGGCCGGCCGCGGTGGCTCAAGCCTGTAATCCCAGCACTTTGGGAGGCCGAGGCGGGTGGATCACGAGGTCAAGAGATCGAGACCATCTTGGTCAACATGGTGAAACCCCGTCTCTACTAAAAATACAAAAAATTAGCTGGGCATGGTGGTGCGTGCCTGTAATCCCAGCTACTCAGGAGGCTGAGGCAGGAGAATTGCCTGAACCCAGGAGGCGGAGGTTGCGGTGAGCCGAGATCGCGCCATTGCACTCCAGCCTGGGTAACAAGAGCGAAACTCCGTCTCAAAAAAAAAAAAAAAAATACAAAATGTGGCTGGGCATGGTGGCTCACACCTGTAATCCCAGTACTTTGGGAGGCCGAGGTGGGCAGATCACAAGGTCAGGAGATCAAGACCATCCTGGCCAACAGAGTGAAACCCCGTCTCTAATATAATACAAAAAAATAAAATTTGCTGGGTGTGGTAGCATGCACCTGTAGTCCCAGCTACTCAGGAGGCTGAGGCAGGGGAATCACTTGAACACGGGAGGCAGAGGTGGCAGTGAGCCGAGATCGCACCACTGTACTCCAGACTGGTGACCGAGCAAGACTCTGTCTCATAAATAAATAAATAAATAAAATAAAAATACAAAAAATCGGCTAGTCGTGGTGGCACACGCTTGTAGCCCCAGCTACTTGAGAGACTGAGGCAGGGGGACTGCTAGAGCCTGGGAGGCAGTGGTTGTAGTGAACTGAGATCACGCCACTGCACTCTAGCTTGGGTGACAGATTGAGACTCTGTCTTCAAAAGAATAGTAATAATATAAGATACTGCCTGGCATGGTGGCCCTCTTATTTGTAAAAATCTGGAGGGGCTCTGGCAGCAGTAAGGCATACCAGAAAAGATGAAAAACTAGGATTTGGGGTAAGGAGAGGTGAATCACAACTCTACCTACTAGTATGAGCCAGTTGGCGTCTCTGAGTCACAGTTTCTTCAAGTGTACAATGGGTAGAATAGTAACTACCTCACAGGGTGGTTGTGTTGCATGAAAACAATGGACACATAGTCACTACTATCCCTGTAGGTAACGAAGACTCATAGCAGCTCTTCCTTTTTTTTCAAGACAGAGTCTTCCTCTGTCACCCAGGTTGGAGTGCAGTGGCACGATCTTGGCTCACTGCAACCTCCATCTCCCAGTTTCAAGCAATTCTCCTGCCTCAGTCTCCTGAATAGCTGAGATTACAGGCGTGTGCCACCATGCCCAACTAATTTTTGTATTTTTAGTAGAGACGGGGTTTCACCATGTTGGTCAGGCTGGTCTCGAACTCCTGACCTCATGATCTACCAGCCTCAGCCTCCCAAAGTGGTAGGATTACAGGCGTGAGCCACTGTACCCGGCCTCAGCTCTTCCTGATACTCAGAAATGGGGAAAGGGAGTTCAGAGAGGTTACGCCATGTATCGAAGGCAATTCAGCAAATCAGAGGCCAAAGCAAACTCCCCGTTGTCCTCGCCAAGAATGAAAGTCAGTGCTCCAAACCGAAGGGTGGGAGACGTTCGCAAACATGGGGACTTTGGATGGTGAGGACGCAGGTTCAGCCTGAAAAGGATCAATGGCTGGGCTTGAGTAACTTCACCCTCCGCCTACGCAAGTGATGAGCAACTGACGTAATGGTAGTTTAGCCTGAGAGGAAAGAACAGCCCTTTGATGTGACCTGGGCCTTGATGCTGTATGAGCTGTCCAGCCTCCCTCGCTGCTGTTTTCCTCACCCATTCGCCGATCATCAGGCCTCACACACCTAAACCTCAGGCAACCAAAGCAGGGGAGCAGCTCCTGTTCACTCAGGACAGCCCATGATCAATTCTCCAAGAAGGTTGTGGGCCAGTTTTTACTTATTTATTTATTTTGAGACAGTCTCGCACTATTGCCCAGGCTGCAGTGCGGTGGCCAATCTCCACTCACTGCAGCTTCTGCCTTTTGGGTTCCGGCAATTCTCCTGCCTCAGCCTCCCGAGTAGCTGGGATTACAGGCATGCACCACCACGCTCAGCTAATTTTTGCATTTTTAGTAGATCATCATGTTGGCCAGGCTGGTCTTGAACCCCTGACTTCAGGTGATCTGCCCGTCTCGGCCTCCCAAAGTGCTGGGATTACAGGCATGAGTCACCATGCCCAGCCATGGGGCCAGTTTTTAAATGCCAACATTATATAAGATTGAATTATATTTTAAAATGTATTTAAAGCTGGGCATGGTGGTTCATGCCTGTAATCCCAGCACCTTGGGAGGCAGGCAGATCATAAGATCAGGAGTTTGAAACCAGCCCAACCAACATGGTGAAACCCCATCTTTACTAAAAATTCAAAAATATAAAAATTAGCTGGGCATGGTGGCGCACACCTGTAATCCAGCTACTCAGGAGGGTGAGGCAGGAGAATTGCTTGAACCTGGGAGGCAGAGGTTGCAGTGAGCCAAGATCATGCCACTGCACTCCAGCCTAGGGAACAGAGCAAGACTCTGTCTAAAAAAAAAAAGAAAGAAAGAAAAAAAAAGAAATAAAACAAAACAAAAAGCAAGAAAGAAATATAAACTTACAATTAAATAAGATGTATTAAAACAAAGATATTAAATGCTCAAATCTCAGCACTTCCTAATCTTTTCAGGGTCTCACTCTGTCACACAGGCTGGAGTGCAATAACATGATCTCAGCTCACTGCAACCTCTGCCTCCCAGGTTCAAGCAGTTCTCCTGCTTCAGCCTCCTGAGTAGCTGGGATTATAGGTGCCACAACCACGACTGGCTAATTTTTTTGTATTTTTAGTAGAGATGGAGTTTTGCCATTTTAACCAGGCTGTTCTCAAACTCCTGACCTCAGGTGATCCGCCCACCTGCCTCCCCAAGTACTGAATTACAGGTGTGAGCCACCACACCCGGTCTCAACTTCCTAATCATTTTTACTAAGTTTTAGTATCACCAATGCTTTTTTTTTTTTTTTTTTTTTTTTTTGAGACGGAGTTTCGCTCTTGTTACCCAGGCTGGAGTGCAATGGCGCGATCTCGGCTCACCGCAACCTCCGCCTCCTGGGTTCAGGCAATTCTCCTGCCTCAGCCTCCTGAGGAGCTGGGATTACAGGCACGCGCCACCATGCCCAGCTAATTTTTTTTGTATTTTTAGTAGAGACGGGGTTTCACCATGTTGACCAAGATGGTCTCGATCTCTTGACCTTGTGATCCACCCGCCTCGGCCTCCCAAAGTGCTGGGATTACAGGCTTGAGCCACCGCGCCCGGCCAATGCTTTTTTTTTCTTTTCTTTTTGAGACAGGGTTTTGCTTTGTTGCCCAGGCTGGTCTTGAACTCCAGGAATCAGCCTCCTAAAATGTTGGGATTATAGGTGTGAGCCAGTGCACCCAGCCTCCCCTGTGCTTTTGAGGTTATTTACATCTGTTTGTATCTGTTTTGGTATGTACTGTACCTAGCTCAACCTCAAGTTCAATGACTTCATGTTGATACTCAAAATTGACCATACTGGCCAGGTGCAGTGGCTCACGCCCATAATCCCAACACTTTGGGATGCCAAAATGGGCAGTTCACTTGAGCCCAAGAGTTCACCACCAGCTTGAGCAACATGGTGAAACCCTGTCTCTATTAAAAAAATTCAAAAATTAGCCAGGCTTGATGGCACATACCTATAGTCCCAGCTACTCAGGAGGCTGAGACAGGAGGACTGCTTGAACCTGGCAGGTGGAGGCTGCAGTGACCTGAGACTGAGCCACTGCACTCCAGCCTAGGTGACAGAGTGAGACCATGTCTCAAAAAACAAAAAAGAAGAAAGAAAAAGTCCAGGCACGGTGGCTCACGCCTGTAATCCCAGCACTTTGGGAGGCCAAGGTGGGTGGATCTCCTGAGGTCAGGAGTTCAAGACAAGCCTGGTCATCATGGTGAAACCTCATCTTAAAAAAAAAAAAAAAAAAAAAAGAAGAGGAAGAAGAAGAAAAGAAATTGACCATACAGAGTATCTGCACCACAGAATTCAGGAAGTGCTATAAACCAAGGTTCAACTTACTGTTTTGTGGATCATTTAGGGAGGGATGGGAAAACCACGGCCCTTCGTCTAAATCTGGACCACTGTCTGTTTTTTCCCTCACTGACCCTTTTTTAAAAAAAAAAAAAATCAGGGCCGGGCGCGGTGGCTCAAGCCTGTAATCCCAGCACTTTGGGAGGCCGAGGCGGGTGGATCACGAGGTCAAGAGATCGAGACCATCCTGGTCAACATGGTGAAACCCCGTCTCTACTAAAAATACTAAAAATTAGCTGGGCATGGTGGTGCGTGCCTGTAATCCCAGCTACTCAGGAGGCTGAGGCAGGAGAATTGCCTGAATCCAGGAGGCAGAGGTTGCGGTGAGCCGAGATCGCGCCATTGCACTCCAGCCTGGGCAACAAGAGCGAAAACTCCGTCTAAAAAAAAAAAAAAAAAAAAAAAAAAAAAAATCAGTCTCCATAGAGACTGTCAAAAATTGCCAGTTCCGACTATATTGCAAGTCGTCACAGCGGGGTACTGGGAAAAGTTTTTTCAATTAGCAATAATAGCACCTTGGATAACCTCATTGGCTACAACACTGCCACTGCGCAAAGCTGACTCTTTTTTTTTTCTTTAATTTCTTTTCTTAAGGCATGTGAAGATGAAACACTGACTTTTTGTAAATACATTTTTATTGGCACCTAGCCACACTCATTTGTCCACCTGTTGTCTATGTCTGTTTGCAGGCTACAGGAGTTTCAGCAGAGGCCTCATACCCCACAAAGCCAGAAATATTTACCATATGGCTTTTTATAGAAAATGTTTGCCGCACCTTGTTTTAGACTTAAGAAAGTGACAAAGAGAGTTCACATGTCTCCCAAATAGGTGTTTCACACACACATGTCTCCCACATGGATGTTAAATGCCTTAAAATCTTGGAAGCAGGAACTGTTTTTGTTTTGAGACGGAGTTGCACTCTTGTTGCCTAGGCTGGAGTGCAATGGCACAATCTCAGTTCACTGCCTCCCAGGTTCAAGGGATTCTCCTGCCTCAGCCTCCCGAGTAGCTGGGATTACAGGCACCCACCACCGCCACGCCCTCCTAATTTTTGCATTTTTAGTAGAGATGGGGTTTCACCATGTTGGCCAGGCTGGTCTCAAACTCCTGACCTCAGGTGATCCGCCCGCCTTGGCCTCCCAAAGTGCTGAAATTACAGGTGTGAGCCACCGAGCCTGGCCTAGGAACTGGTTTTATGTTTGGATGATCACAAACATAGCAATACAAATGTGGTCTGGACCTGAGTCCCATTTAAGCATTTTCTAGCCGCAAAGAACAAGTTATCTGGGCAAGTCTTCCTCTTCTTTAATCTCAAGTTTCTCATCTGTAAAACGAGAGGAAAACAATAGAAAGCTGAGGAGATAACGGGCACAGTTCTTAGCCGTGGCATACTAAGGGGTACGCTGCCACCATCACCTCTTTTCCCTACCTCCATCAGGTACAAGTAATAAGGGAGTTGTCATGGGTTGGTTTCTCTAGGAACAGGCTGAGACAGAGCTTGGGGCGCAAGATTTTGTTGTTGTTGTTTGTTCGAAACAAGGTCTTGCTCTGTCACCCAGGCTGGAGTGCAATGGCACAATCATAGCTCACTGCAGCCTCAAACTCCCGGGCAGAAGTGATCCTCTGCCTCGGCCTCCCAAAGCACTGGGATTACAGGTGCGAGCCACCATGCCTGGCCATTTTAAGGATCCATATCAGTGAAAGGAAGCTGGGGAGGCTGGGCTGGGGAGACGGGGAAGTCAGTGGTGGAGATTCCACAAGGCCTTGGCCAGCCCTACTGAGTCCCTGGAGACAGAGTCACTAGTCAGAGTCACCCCCATTGGGCTGAAATGGACCAGCCTCTCTGCTCCCTCGCTCAAACACAAAATGTGGGCTGCCCTGGGAAGGCTGTGGCCAAGTCTCCAGGTGAGGCAGATCCCACAGGAGGTGACAGCCGACCAGTCTCCCTACAGCTGCGCAGTGAGGCCTTCCTTGAAGGAGTATGGACAGTAGAATCTACCACAGGGATGCATTGTTTGCAGAGACTTTTCAAATAATAATAAAAACTGCTAAAAGTCTGTCAACTTGGCCAGGCGCGGTGGCTCAAGCCTGTAATCCCAGCACTTTGGGAGGCCGAGGTGGGTGGATCACGAGGTCGAGAGATCGAGACCATCCTGGTCAACATGGTGAAACCCCGTCTCTACTAAAAATACAAAAATTAGCTGGGCATGGTGGTGCGTGCCTGTAATCCCAGCTACTCAGGAGGCTGAGGCAGGAGAATTGCCTGAACCCAGGAGGTGGAGGTTGCGGTGAGCTGAGATCGCGCCATTGCACTCCAGCCTGGGTAACAAGAGCGAAACTCCGTCTCAAAAAAAAAAAAAAAAAAAAAAAAAAGTCTGACAACTTGATTTCATGTATGCCAGCAAATTTAAACAAAGGATCAAGTACTCCCTCCTTGTGGAACAGACAGCCGCCATGGCCCCCTACCCTGGTGCCTGATAGTGAATACATGCTCACAGATGGTGGGGTGGTGGTGGTATTGTTTTTCTGTTTGTGTTTGTTGGTACCAGTTGCAAATGCCAGAAGCCCAACTCAAACTAGCTTAAGCAAAAGGAGAAGGTTTGGCTCATCCAGGAGCCTGCCTAGAACAACTTGCTCAGACATCAGCAATCAGCCTGTCTTCTCTCAGCTCTGGTTTCTCTGTTCTGGCTTTATACACAGGCATGTCTTCCTTCAACAGACTCAGGGCTGGCCCCCGAAGGACCATTGGATCAGCTCAGCCAACTCAGAGCTCACAGTGAGTCTCTTTCTCAAGCAGAAATCCCAGAGCAAATCCACATGGCCGGTTCTAGCCAGGAGCCCAGCCCTCAGCCAACACAGAGATTCTCACTGGTCAGTCCTGGCTCCCACGCCCCACCCAAACCACATGGACAGAGCGGGGAAAGGATGGAGAAGGGAGATGCTGTCATGAGAACAGGCATGGATACTGGAGAGGCAAGACATTTTAGGCCGGGCGCAGTGGCTCACGCCTGGAATCCCAACACTTTGGGAGGCCCAGGCAGTTGGATCACTTGATGAGGTCAGTAGTTTGAGACCATACTGGCCAACATGGTGAAACCCCATCTCCACTAAAAGTACAAAAGAAATTAGCTGGGTGTGGTGATGGGCGCCAGTCAGTCCCAGCTACTCGGGAAGCTGAGGCAGGAGAATCACTTGAACCCGGGAGGCAGAGGTTGCAGGGAGCTGAGATTGCACCATTGCACCCCAGCCTGGACAACAGAGTGAGACTCTCAAAAAAAAAAAAAAAAGAGAAAAGAAAAGAAATCAAACCTCCAGGATACTCCTCACTGTCCCTGGTGCCAGGCACGAAGGACATTCTATGGTCCACACCAGATCAAGTGCTCCCTGGCTTGCACAGTTAGGACACTGAGACTCAGAGGGCGCCAGCAGTGGCACAGTCTTCAGAGCCCACCGGTCCTATGTCCTGTGCCATCAACTCTCTGGACCCTCCCAGCCGTCACTGGTGCCTGCTGATACAGCTGCCTGTCACCTTAAAGCTCAGACACATGGGCTCTGTACCTCAAGAGATAAAGACCAGCTCCACCTAAGAGGCCCTGCCCAGGAGCACCAGCCCTGATAACAAGACCAGCTGGGCACCCTGGCCAGTCCTCACCTGCTCTGGTCCCAGCTGCACTTGCTTGGGAGAGTGGTGGGCCTGGCAGGGGAGGGGTGAGGCTCTGTCCATGGACTTCTGTCTCTGAATCTTCACTATCTCTGTTTGGGAGTCGCTAGTCGTAAATTCCAGGAAGCAGAGCACAGGGCTATTTGGCTGCTTTTAGATGTGTTTTGTTGTTGTTGTTTTTTTTAATTGAGACAAGGTCTTACTCTGCCACCCAGGCTGGAGTGCAGCGGCATCATCACAGTTCACTGTAGCCTCAGCCTCCTGGGCTCAACCGATTCACCCACCTCAGCTTCCTGAGCAGCTGGGACTACAGGTGTGCGCCACCACACCTGGCTGATTTTGGGGTTTTTATATTTTTGTAGAGATGGGATTTTGCCATGTTGCCCAGGCTCGTGTGGAATTCCTAGGCTCAGGTGATCTGCCCGCCTCGCCTCCCAAGTGCTTGGATTACAGGCATGAGCCACTGCACCCAGCCTAGATCCAATTTTTAAATGTAACGAAAACTTATTGGTTTATCTTTCATCTTTTAAATCTTTTATTTAAGCTTCAAACCTAACTAGAGAATCACAAGTAGGCTACTGGGCAATGCGGGTCCAAGCATAGCAGCTCTGGGCAGCTGGGTTTCCAGCCCAGCGTTCTTCCCCATACTCACCTGGAGCCGAGCAGGCTTTAATGTCCTCATAATGTTGTATAAAACCTTCAATAGCTCCCTATTGTCTCAAAGATCAAATCTAAACCCCCAACAATAAGACCACCCATCCTTGCCTTCTTTTTTTTTTTTTTTGAGACTGAGTCTCACTCTGTCACCCAGGCTGGAGTGCAGTGGTGTGATCTTGGCTCACTGCAACCTCCGCCTCCCGGTTCAATCGATTCTCCCGCCTCAGCCTCCCTAGCAGCTGGGATTACAGGTGTGCACCACCACGCCCGGCTAATGAATCTCCATCTTCTAATCTATGAAATGGGGATGATGAGAGCACCTACCTAACAGGGTTGCCGTGGATTTAATGAGTAAAGGACAGAGTGTGAAATGTGCTTAGTACAGTGCCTGGCACATAAAGCGACCAGAAAATGGAAGTTTAGTTTGTGTGAAGATCACTTTTAATTATTTGGAAAAAGTGTGCTGCCTCCAGAGGTAACTGCCTGGTGGATAACGTTCCTTCTGCAGAAGATTCTTCCTTTTAAGTTAAATAATAATAATAATAATAATAATCTTGCGAAGGCCCGCGATGTGATTTCTGCCCAGTGCTCTGAATGTCAAAGTGAAGAAATTCAATGAAGTGCGGGTAAACGGCGGGAGTAACTATGACTCTCTTAAGATAGCCAAATGCCTCGTCATCTAATTAGTGACGCGCATGAATGGATGAACGAGATTCCCACTGTCCCTACCTACTATCCAGCGAAACCACAGCCAAGGGAACGGGCTTGGCGGAATCAGCGGGGAAAGAAGACCCTGTTGAGCTTGATTCTGGTCTGGCACGGTGAAGAGACATCAGAGGTGTAGAATAAGTGGGAGGCCCGTGGCGCCCCACCCCCTCGACCGTCCCTGCGAGGGGGCGGGGCGGGGTCTACCGGCCTTGCACTCCACAGCTTCTGCACGGCAAAAGAAACAGTGGTTAGAGTGAATCGGCAACCAACAGAATGTGAAAAAATTTTTGCAGTCTACCCATCTGACAAGGGGCTGATATCCAGAATTTACAAATAACTAAAATAGATCTACAAGAAAAAAAACAAACAAGCCCATTCAGCAGTGGGCAAAGGATATGAACAGACACTTTACAAAAGAAGACATACAGGAGGCCAACAAACATATGAAAAAATGCTCATCATCACTGGTCATTAGAGAAATGCAAATCAAAACTACATTGAGATACCATCTCACGCCAGTTAGAATGGCGATC